TAATAACCAAAAATTATAAAGTTTATTTTAAAAACTACTTTATAGGTTTTTATTTTTAAGATTTAATAAACTTAAATAAAATTTAAAACTTTAACATATAAATAATATTAAAAAACAATTATTATAAATGTTAAAAAGGTTTATTAAATTTATTTTTACAATTATTAATTTAATATATTTAAATAAATTACTTATATATAATAATAAAAATTTTATTAAATTTTAAATTTAATAAATAAAAGTTAAATTATATTTAAAAATTTATATAAATTTTTTTTTTAAAAATTACGTTTATATTAATTAAATAAAATTATTATTTATAAATAAAATTTAATTATAATATTAATAATATTTTAATTAAATTAAACGGTTTTATTTTATAAATTAATAAATTAATTATATATTAATTTTATAAAAACAATTTAAAGATTTTTTAAAAAAATATAAAAATTTAAAAAAAATATATAAATTTAAATATATAAAAAATATAATTTAATATATTATTAAATTTTTAAATTTTAAAAAAATTATTTAATAGTTTAAAATTACTTTTTAAAACTATATTATTAAAACCTTTTCCGACAAAATTATTAAATTAATATATTTTAAATAAAGTAAAATTTTAAATAATAACAAAAAATTTCTCGTTACAATTTAAAAAATTAATTAAATTTATAAAAATATATTAACTAATTTAAAATTTTTAACAGTAAAAAAAAAGCTTATTTTAATAATAAAATATTTAAAATTAAATTAATAAAATTATAACAAAAAAACTTACTTTAATTTAAATTAAAATTAATTTTTAAAAAACAAAGATTAGTTTAAATTTACCAATAAGCCAAAATTTAATTCCAAAAATAATTAATAAATTTTAAATAAAAAAGTTTTTTAAAAAATTAACTAGGTAAATATTAATTAATATAAAAAAAATAAAAAAATATATTAATAATATAAACGTAATATTTATAATATTTTTATTTATTTTATTAAAAAAAATATTAATAATAAAAAATTATTAATACTTTTAAATTATAAAATTTTTTTAATTAAATAAAAATATAATAATAATAAATAATTAACTTTTTTATTTATAAAAAAAATTAAAATAAATATAATAATAAAAAAAATTAATTAATTTTATTTTATTATTAAAATTAACGATAATAATTTAAATTTTTAAAAATTTTTTATATTATACTTTATAAAATATTAAAGTAAAAATAAAGTACTTATTTATATTAATTTATTGTAATTAAACAATTAATTAAAAAATTTAATAAATTACAAAAAAGAAAATAAAAAAAACTTTATTTAAAAAAAAAACCTTTAATAAAAATAACATTAATATTTAATAAATAAAAACTTTTTATAAAAATATTATTTAATATAAAGATAATTATATTTATTATATTAATATTTAAAATTAAATTATAAGATTTTTTTAAAATAAAAAAAAATACGCCAAAAATAATTATATTTTTTAACGTTATTTATATATAAAAAAAAAATTATTATTATATAAACTTTTTAATATTTAAATATTAAATAAAATATTATATTTATTTAAATTTTAAGTTTAATATTATAAATAATAAATATAATTTTATTTTTTTATAATAATAATTAAAAATTTATTAATTTACAAATATCTTTTTAAATTTAAATAAAATATACTTTTTATTTAAATATTACTAACGTTATTATATAAAAAAGGTTATTATTAAATATATTATATTAATATAATATAATTATAATAATTTTTTTTTAAAAATATTTAAGAAATTTAAAAAATTTATATTTATAATAAATAAAAAAGTTAAAAAGTATTTTTTTAAACATTAATTATAAAATTATATTATTAATTTAATAAAAAAAAAAATACTTTTATAAGGCTTTTTTTACGTTATAAATAAAAAAAAATTTAACATTTTTAAATTATAGTTAAAAAATATATTTAATATAAAATATATTTATAAACTTTTTTTTTTTTATATATTTTTAATATTTTTTATATTAAAACCCAATTTTAAGGATTTATTTTATTTAATAGTAAATTATTAAAGATTAAATGTAATAATAATATTTATATATTATTTTATTTTATTTATATTAGAAATATAAAACCGATTTTAAATTTTATAATAATTTATTAAAATAAATTTAAAAACCAAATTTAATTTAATTTATATTTAATAAAATAATAAATAAAAAATAATATTTAAATATAAATATAAATTTTATAAATATTTTATTATATTTTTCGGATTAAACAATACATTTATTATTTTTTAATTTATAATAAATAATATTTTTAAAGATATAATAAATAATAGATTATTTATATATATTAATAATTTATTTATATATATTATTATTTAAAAAAAATATAATATAATAATTAAAAAAATTTTAAAAAAATTTACTGCATATTATTTTGCAATTATTTTATATAAATATAAATAAATAATTTAAAAAATAAAATTTTTAAATTATATTATTAATTTTTAAAATATTTTTATATTTAAAAATAAAATTAAATATATTATAAAATAAAAACTATTAATTAATTTTAAAAAATTACAATAATTTATAAATTTTATAAATTTTTATAAATAATTTATTAAAAGATTTTTAATAATAATTAAACTTATTATAAAAATTAATAAAAAAGATAAAAAAGATTAAAAGTAAATACCAAAAATAAATAAAACTTTTAAAAATTTAAAAATTAAATTTATATTAATTTTAATTTTTATTTATTTTAATTTTGAATTATAAATCTTTTTTAAAATTAATATTTTAAACTTTATTATCGGAATTATTCTTTTTTAAAAAGATAAAAAAATAAAGTTTTGGTTTATAGCTTTTTATTTTTAAAAATTAATTTTAATAAAAATAAATTATAAAATATATAATAAAAAACTATTTATAATTATTAACTTTTTTAATTAATAAAAATATTATTTTAAAAAAGTATAATATTAAATTAAAATATTTTCTAATTATTAAAATTTATTTTATTTTATAATTATTAAAGTTTTAAATAAAAAATAAATAAAATAAATATAATAATTTTTATTATATTAATTTATTATTAATTATTGTTTTAAAAAATAAAATAAAAAAACCAATATTTTATTTAAATTATTATAATATTGATTTAAAAAAAGGAAAATTAAATATTAACCGATTATATTAATATTATAAAAAAAACATTTTTTATATTTATTTAATTTTAATATAATATGTTTAATAACGGTTATTTTTATATTAAATTATTTAAATAATTTTTTAACTTTAAAATAATTGCTTAAATTTATAAAACAAATTAAAAAATCAAAAAAAAATAATTTATTATATATAAAAAAAAAAGATAATTTAAATAATAATTTTAAATTATAAAATAATTTTTTATATAAAAAAAAACGTTTATAAATATCTTAAATACTTTAAAAAAAAGTTATAAAATTAAAATATAATATTTTAATAATAAAATATATAAAAATAAATAAAACCTTAAAATTTATTATATAAAATTTTTAATAATTTAATATTAAAATTATTATATAAGATTTTATAAAAAAATATTTAAAATATTAATATAATAAAATAAATTAATATGTTTTATATGGTTTATTTTAACCTATAAAATTATATTATATATTATAATATATTATTACCATAAATTTTATTATTAATTTACTTTTATTTAATAGTTACAATTTTATTTAAATTATGGTTAATTTATTTATTAAAATAATACATTTTATACTTTTTAAAATAAAAAAAAAAAAATTATAAATTTAATTAAAATTTTTGTTAAATTTTATTAAAAATTATATAAAATTTTTTTAAATATTATTTTTAACCAAAATTTTAAATTTATTATTTATTTATAACAAAATTTTTTTAAACTTATAAATATTAAATTATAAATAAATATAACTTTTTATTTTTAAATTAATAGTTAAATAAAACAATTTAATTAAATTTTCGAAATTTATTTTTAAACGTTTATTAATTATAAAATAATTAATTAAAAAAACTTATTACCAATAATAAAATTTATATATAATAATTTAAAATTAATATTATTATATATAACATTATTTTATATAAATTATAATTTTTATTTTATAATTTATAATCCATTTATTAATACTTTTTAAAATTTAAATAATTAATTATATATATATTAAATAAAATAAGTTTATACTAAAATATAATAATATTTAAAAAAAAATCGTTAACGCATAAAAAATTAAATTAATAAAAAAAAAAAAAAAATACCGAAATTTAAAAAAAATTAATTAATTATATTAAATGGTAAAAATATTAAAACAAAATAATTTATTAAAAAACTAAATAAAAAAATGTTAAGTTTTTTTAAAATTTAAAAAATAATCTTTTTTACCGTTATTAAATTTTATTTATTTAAAAAGTAAAAAATTTATAACTTATTTTACGTTTTATTTATTAAACTTTACCGCGTTAATAATTAAACATTGTTTAATCTTAATTAAATTTTATAAAAAATAGTTTTAATAAAGTTTAAAAAATATTATATAAACGAAATAAAAAATTTTATATAAGTTTAAAAAAGTATAAAATATTTAATTAAATAAAAAAGTTGGTTAATTAAAAAACATTAAATTTAAAAACCTTTTAATTATTTTAATAATAAAAACGTTAAATAAATAGTTTTAATATTTTATTAATAAAATTTAAAAAAGCTAGTAAATCTTTAAATTTTACCAAAAAAAGTTATATTTTTTATTTAAAATTTTAATTTAAAAATAAGTTTAAAAAAAAAAGAAATAATATTATATAAATAATAATGTTAAAAAATTATTAATTAAAAAAAGATAATTAATAAAAGATATAAAATAATTATTTTAAAATTTATTAAATAAAAAATATTATAAAACCATATAATTATATGTAAACGAAGTTAATATATCGATAAAAATTTAATTAAATTAAAAGATACGTACTTTAAATTGTTTATAAATAAATTAAAATCTTTTCTTGAAAAAAAAGGGAAAATTAAAGACCTTAAAACCTTAAAAAATTATTAATAATCCTAATTATATTCCAAACCCCTTATAGCCCTTGTTACAGTTAAAGGCCAAGCAATAAAGCAAGCCAAGAAACCGCCTAGTTATTAAAGGCTGACTGAAAACGAATTCGTATGTGTCTTGTCACCGCTTCCGTACCGATAATCAGACTGAAAAGAGGCCATCGTCAAAACACCGCCTATAGTATTTTTCTAGTTAATACTGATTATCACCTCGCGTGTTAAATATAACAATCGGTTCACTAACCAACACTTTACTTGATGTTAGTGTATGGCGAGGTTATTATTTTTGTAAAGCTTGCACTTACATTCCGCTGTCATATCCGAACAGAAATCCACCCATACACACTACCGAACCCAGCCAGTAGGCCCGGATCTTCCCTAACGTCGGGCCTGTCATCTCTGTCGTGATAGATAGTGGCCGCTCGTCTTCACTGGATCTTCGAAGTAAGGGCTGTATTTCATCCATGATATCCTAAGGACTTTTCGCCCTTTTAACCCCAATTCCATTCAAGAAAAATACTAAGCTGCCTCGGTTAATAACCTAGCTATTATAAGATTATAACTACGCGAGATCTGAACCTCAACGAGTTGGGGAAATGACGTGACCAGAAGGTTGGAACACCAGCCGCGGTCGACCAGCCAAATGGAACCATCTACATAGGGGTTCTCCGCATCCACTCAAGGCCTTGGGCGACCGACGGCCGAGCATCCAAGAAGACCCCTGGTCTCTTCAAGGGTTTTTAAACTAGAGCATGGGGCCGAATCTATTTCCGGGATCTTATAGATGATGGCCAATAAGAATTGGTATAGGCCGAGCAGCCGAACATCTCGGCGATCGTAGTGTCACTACTATCTACAGTAACGGCACTAGCTACTATTCCTCGTCAGCTCATTATCATCACTTATATGAGAAATTCTGGGCTTTACATGTGACCTCTTCATGTCAAGGCATTTATAGACAATTGCGACATCGCTGTGGGGAGCAACGACATCGGAAAAGCATTGTCATTCGAGCTGTTGTTATAACTGCACTCTGTAGAACGTTTTATTAATATCTACCCGGACATCTCACTCTTATTCTAGTGTAATTATCAGTCTTTTTGGTTGTTAGTTCAAAACGAAATAAGGGGACATTAAACCCCATTCTATATTTACACAGTTACTATGGCGCCGGGGAAAAGACCTAATTTTCTTATTGCTTTGGCTGATGACCTAGGCTTTTCGGATGTTGGGTCATTCGGTGGTGAAATAAATACGCCTAATGTTGATAAACTCGCCAAGAATGGAATACGGTTTACAGATTTCCACGCCGCCGCGGCGTGCTCACCATCCCGAGCTATGATCATGACTGGCACGGATCACCATATCGCTGGCCTTGGAAATCTGATCGAATGGACTAACATCTCTGGTCAGAACGACCCTAGCGGCACGATGTCAACATCAGTACAGCGTGGTATGCCCGGTTACGAGGGGTATCTCAATGAACGAGTTGCTGCACTACCTGAGCTACTCCGCGATGCGGGTTACCTGACTCTCATGTCAGGTAAATGGCATCTAGGGTTGACACCGGAGCGGAGTCCGAAAGCTCGAGGCTTCGAGAAGAGCTTCGCACATCTACCAGCTTGCAGCAATCATTATGGATATGAGCCTCAGTTAGAGGGCATGGATCGGATACCAGAGTTCATGACGATGAGCTTTATCGCTCTCCACAGTGAAGACGGCGAGTATGTGAAGAAACTACCTGAAGGGTGGTACTCTTCTAACGGGTACGGCGACAAAATTGTACGGTACCTAAAAGATTGGAAAGAGACCGAGGATGAGCGACCATTCTTCGCTTATTTACCTTTCACTGCCCCTCACTGGCCTCTTCAGGCTCCCCAGGAATACATTAAGAAGTACCGTGGTGTATATGACGACGGTCCTGATGCTCTCCGTCAGAAACGCCTTCAACGCCTCAAAGATCTTGGCATGGTCCCGCAAGACGTCGAACCCCACCCAGTTGTAGCCGACGAAGTTAAAGAGTGGGAAGAAATGAGCGACGAAGAGCGCGCCAACTCGTGTCGAGCGATGGAATGCTTCGCTGGTATGGTTGAGTGTATCGACGCCAATGTCGGAAAGGTTGTCGATTATCTTGAGGAAATTGGCGAGCTAGATAACACCTTCATCTGCTTTCTCTCCGACAATGGTGCTGAGGGTGCTGCATACGAAGCTTACCCCATCGTCCAAGGCACCATGCTTCAACATCTGAAGAAATACTACAACAACAACATCGACAACCTCGGAAATGGCGACTCGTTCATCTGGTATGTAGGAAAACATCCCGTGCTGTTATTTTCGAACCCCCTTCCTAGAATGGTCTCGGAATACAGTGGCTAACGCTCAGTAGTAAGTATAATAGCCCTATCATTTCGACTAACTCGAACACGGTGAAGATTCTAAAATTGTAGGATTGCAAGCTGACACGAAATGTTTTTATACATTAGGGTACGGTCCACGATGGGCCCAAGCTTCTACTGTGCCAAGCAGATTATACAAGGCATACACAACCGAAGGTGGCATTCGTGTTCCGTATTTGATGAAGCCGCCGGCGAGCTTCAACGGCCAATTTGAAGCTGGCAGTATAACAAACCAGTTTGCGACCGTGATGGACCTTGCACCAACGATCCTTGAGATGGCTGGCGTCAAGCACCCGGCACCAACTTATCAAGGCCGAGAGGTCGTCTCCATGCGAGGTAAATCAATGGTCCCATACCTGCAAAAGAAGGCGGAGACAATCCACAAGAAGGAATTTATCAACGGATGGGAGACATGCGGACGAGCAGCCTGCCGCAAAGGCGACTGGAAGATCGTCTTTATCCCTAAGCCCAAGGGCCCGGAGAGATGGCAACTGTATAATCTTGCGAAGGACCCCGGCGAAGTGCATGACCTTGCGGAACAAGAGCCCGAGAGGCTAAAGGAGTTAGTCAAGCTTTGGGATCAGTATGTTTTAGAAACGGGTGTAATACCGCTTTCACCAGACCTAGGAAATTGGATGGCCGCTATGGAGGAGCAAATGCCCGAGAACGCGGTAAGTAGCATCTGGAGTCACATGTTCCCCTTTCCCGCGCTTTTCGGAGTATCCTGCTCTTAAACATACCTACCTAAAGCTCGAGCGCTTCATTATCTATCGAGAATTCTAAAAAGAAAATGCTAACGTCTACTTGCGCAGTGGATCGAGTACGAGTACTGGAAAGAGGGTGCCAGGGATGACCCCGCAAAGTTCACGAAACAAATCCCCAGGTTCCAGAGGCAGGTTAATGCAATTTGAATAGGGGTCATATAGCACCCCTGTCGCTATCAAAATAGCTTTATAGATATGACAAGGTTACCTATATCAATGGACAATTTTAGCCTATGGAGTTAATCGATTGCTTCGATATTGATAATATACGTTAGGTGTTCCATTGAATAACGAATTATTCTGTACCTGAGTACCTACTTAATACTCACAGTAAAGGGCATTATAAGAGCTGGGTATAGCCATTGTTATTACGACAAAGTGTCATTATACATCAGCTTCTTGAAATAATAGGCATTGTTATCGAAATACAAAGAGCGTATGGCTTGATATTGCTTAAAAGTTAATGCACCCTTTTAGGCAAACTATCTAGGCTAATACCTTAGTTAAGTTGGATTAGAATTTGACGATGGCGAAAAGATTAAGAAAAGTAATTCCCTATGGTGAGAGCCTTCGCCTTATTCCATGTATCGATAATCAAGGCTGGTCAACACTGGAAGAGAGTATTAAAGCCCGCAAATTTCAAGGACGACGGGATCATGCTCCTAACCCCTTAGTTATCGAATTCAATTCGGAATTTAAAGGGATAAATTTTCCACAAAGACTTACTAAGATATGTCTCTCACCGCCAGGCTTTGATTCAGGATTGGACTGTTTTGGTAACCCGAGTACGCTGGTTGAGGCTGGCAAAGGTGAGTTGGACGACCTTTACGGGGCCGATTTGTACGAAACTCGATCAGACAGAGAAGCAGAATTGTCCGGGTTTACTTCCCGGCCATGCTTCCCAGAAGCAAAAGAGTTCCTTGCCGGTCTTGACGATATGGAATCTGCGTTGTTAGATGTTGGGTTTGATTCGAAAACAATCCCAGCCTCTATAAAAGATGAAGATAGAGATTATGTACGACGGCACGGCGACTTTGAAGATTGGATTGAGGAGGCGGACTTCGTAGAAGCCAACGCGAGCGTGCCAGAAGGGACATGGTACTACAGTGTCTCTATACCTTAGGTACTTAGTCACACCACGGAGGAAGATATATAAACTAACCCATGGTTTGTATAACATATGACTCTGGCGGAGGTAAAATCAAAGATACTTCAACTTCATACTATTGGGGACTCGTGTAGCTATTTACTACGTCATTAACGTTATATTCACGCTCTCGATGTGCAATGGCCGCTCGTATAATTTCGTAGATACTTTGCTTTAATACGTAAGTCTATAACGTGTATTAATAGTTGTAAACCTAGCGCTGGTAGTACTGTGTTAATAGCCTCGGGTTCTGAGTTTTCAATAACTGCATATCAATCTTCCCGGTTTCGCTCCAGCTCATCGCGGACCATTTCTCGGGATGCTGCTTCGCATCGATGAAATGTTTGATGGCCAGAACCATCTGCTTTGCCCATTTGTCGTCGCTGATACCTCCTGTACCAGTACCCAATGGTGTCATCAAGATAGATTTTATTTTTGTTGAGCCGGCACTACTGCCCCCCTCCGTTGCGGATCTATTATGCTGCTCGATCGCATTCAGCAAGCTCCAGATACATTCGTAGACAACGTCTCTGTCCCAATCGCAGCGGCTGGGAACACGCATGGTGGGACATAGAGCCAGATAGCGACAACCCCATCCGTTCCCGTCGTGATACCTCAACGTTCCACGGAACGACTCTGGCATTTTGACGATGCAGCATGAGCCAGGCGGGAGATAGCCGCTATGCAGACGGTATAGCTCTTTCTGTGCAACGCGTGTAAGAGCGTGATAATCCGTTTTTGGGCTGAAGGCCCGCGATATCGCATCATCGAAGCCACCGTCTAGAAGGCCATATGAATTTGCTGGTGACACTACCAAATCGAAATTCAGGGATGGTGGTAGGTCAGACAGGAAGGTATTGTGGATTGTGTAGTTAAGCAAGGACTGCTCAATTCCATACTCTTCTAGCACTCGTGTGAAGGCATCCGAGGCCGATTCATGCATGCAAAGGAGGTGGATATACGGGATGGGCTGAGCTTCCGAAGTCATATTGAAATATCCGGTGACTTATTTATATGTGATGCAGCATGCGGTGGGTGTGAAGTTGAAGGAATGGAAGATAACTTGTTGGCAGCTTATTTGGGTAATCATTTACAAGTCACCTGACTTATTGGTTTGCCTGTTGGCTTGTCTCACAGGGGTAGAAACTTCTATAGGTCGTAGTGATGTAGGTTAGTCTTGGCGAGGAGTTATTCAGTGACTATCTAGGAGGTATGTATATAATCTAATATTCATTATTAATTAGGCACTTATATTTGTTTCTAATCAAAGACTACTCCCAAAGGGATCGCCCCTAATTGCCGTTGCGATGACTGGCGTAAGATGGACTAAAGCTATTTCACAAAAAGGGGCTGCCAGGGGTCGAAAGAGGGGTTTCCATTGAATCATATCCATCATAAGAGATATCACCAACGATTAATTATTAATAGCAGTAAATTCGCTGGCTGTCTAAAGAGTTTCATTCTCATACTAGACCCATACTAATTTTTCTTCATTATAAGTCTTCCAGCTCAGTCATGCCTCTTAGACGAAGCGCAAGTGTCCATCCGAGTTTCCGATGCGCTCGTCCAAATCAATCCGACGTCGATGCCACTGGCCTCTAGTATCCACTAATTCCGCCTCCAGGACCCGTCCGCCGTCGACGAGATGGATGTCCCGAGCCGAAGCGCTAAAGTTTCCGGTTGACCGGCCCGGCACTTGCAGGGTTTGTCCCGGGTAGATCATGTCTGGGTTGGAGATGTTATTCTTCCTAGCGATATCCTCGAAGCTACAGTTGCACCGTCGGGCAATCTCTCTCAAGGTATCACCCTGCTGTACCGTGATGGTGTTGGAACCAGACCCTCCACTTGCCCAGCGGAAATGACCGTCGTCATTGCTAAGAATTTCGTTGAGGTTTATGATGCTTACGTGGCTTCCTCCTTCTCGACGTGAGCAGGTTGCGCGAAGGTCGTAGTCTCCTTCGAGATGGATATCATGCGACGAAGCGGAAAAGTTGCCGGCATAGTTTCCAATCGATCTGTCTCGGCTTGGAGAATGACTTCCTCCGTGACGACCATGGTTGTGAGAATCCGAATAAGCAGGCGGCGGTGATGAAAGCTGTTGATGTAGCTTTTCTTCTTCCTTCTTTTCCTTGCGATCATGGACGAAGTCCTCCAGCTTGTGACCAGCTATAGCGCCACCGATAGCTCCGATGATTCCATGGCCCATTTTATGTCCACCATAAGCGCCGGCGGCAGCACCAGCAAGTCCTCCCATCAGACCGCGGTCTCCGTCTTCTCCCGGGCCGGCATTCGGGGGACCGGACTGATAAGGTCCTTCGTTCTGGCGTTCGCCGTACCGATCTCCAGGGCCGGAGCCATATGCGTTGCCGTATTGAGGATTGCTAGGTTGTCCGTACCCTTGCTGCCCGTATCCTTGTTGCCCGTACTCTTGTTGTCCATATCCTTGCTGACCATATCCTTGCTGGCCATATCCTTGCTGGCCATATCCTTGTTGTCCCTCCGGACCACCAGAGTAGGGAGGATACTGAGAGTTGGGCTGGCCACCATAGTAGGAAGAGGACTCGCCCTGCTGGCGTCCATCTCCGTAACCTTGATTGCCGTAACGCGGATCCATATTGATATGTGGGGATTCAGTCGATCTAGTTAGCTTTTTGACAAAAATGGAAATGATGTAAATTGGGTTGGTATGGCGGATGTGAGGAAGTCTAAGGGAGAAGAGGGATAGAGGATGGATATATTAATATATTAATGGTCATGTTAGTGTTAGCAAACACCTAACCTTCGTTCTAATTTCTAGCTGATTCGGCTGTGCCACTTGGTCTGACGTGTGCATACACAGCCTCTAGTCGGAATGATTAAGTCTTTGTCCATACTTCGTCCCATGGAACTTGAATCATACTACACTCACCGCACGTATCGGTACACGTTGGTACACGAACGTGATTTGACTTGCGGTGGATATAATACGGATACTCGGCACAGAGCTGCAATGCGAATAGCCAGTGTTGTGGCTGTGCGGTCTTGGTGCGGTCTTGGCATCTATTCATGACTGGATACTATGTATACGAAACTGAGACTAAATGAAAACTGTGGCTAGAGAAAGCTCGAGATTTCAAATATTGATGCCTGATGTGCACTAGAGTCGTACTAGTCGCGTTACAGAAAGTGGAAGCTCGTGAAAATACCTCCTTTTCCGAACGGCAAACCCGTAGCGTTAAGTTGATCGACTGCTCTAACACTTCTCTGATCTAAGGGATGGGTCGCTGGATGGGCTATTACATCACATACATAAGCTGGACCCAATTCTAGGACATTCAAAAATATGAGTTTGATTTATTACGTACCTAATGCAGATGTGTTCGCAACATGTTACCAGGTTACTCAACTATAATATAACAATACTAGACTAACTAGCGCAAGTTGCATCTTAGTTCTATTGGTCTGTCCCAGCAATGTTTCGATACAATACTCTATTCTCAGGGGTACTTTACAATGAGAGCTTATTGGGTAGTTCGCTCAGAGCTCTAACACACCGCTATGCATTAAAAGAATTCAAAAAGAAATTTTTAAAAAAAGGGGAACAAAGTCGTGTTAAAGGAAATGGATACTAATCCTTAAGAGGTTATATGTCAATACACTAGATGTCTTATCCAGGACTGAATGAGGACAGCTCCGGAATCCGGCAGGTCCATCAAGGTAGCCAGCATGATCGAAACTTATGCCACCATCAGAAGATTCTTAATTGATATTAATACAAATTATGGTCTGACTGATACAACCCAATCAATTTCACCATCACATCAATTGATACACGGCGCATATTGCGCTGAGTAATCGAACCTGTCAAAAGCAACTATTATCACTCGCCCACCACATCGTTCATGCTCGTGGACGAAGAGGGGCATAATTCATTCTCATAGGAGGCAGGTTTCCGAGAGGGGCGTCTTCTCAATGACTCCGCTGCAATCGCCGCTCCTATGATCATACGACAATTGGCAGCTTTCCTAAACTTGGGTTTCACTACAGACGAAGCGTTCCGCAAAACAGCTCAAAATATATTATTATAAGCCTACCGCAATAAATTCAGTTACGTGCTATTATCACATAGGTATTGCCATAGACGATACGTTATATAGAAGAGAGTCCAATGTATGTCTACCTCCTAATGTTGACAGGCACTTGGGTACCTACCTAGCCTAACTTAGCGGAAACGCAATGTTTATGTCTCTTCTGTTAGAATAACCCGCATCCGATAATAAAATAGGATGATATATAAAGCACCTATGCAGATAAGAGGTATTTTAGGGTTAATGGAGTGAGGGATGGCTAAATACATCAAAATCTGAAAGTTTGGTGTTATCCTCGTGTTCCTATTTCCATTATTTCGGGCCCTACCTAGGCATATTAAGGAAATATTTGTGAAGTTTACCAGAAGTTAGAGAATCGGTACATACGCGATTAACGAAAAATCTTACAGAAGTTAATTAGCGAGTGACGAGACGTATGAAACTTAGTAGAAGATGCCAACAAGGTGGCAGAAATTATATTTACTAATTTACAGTAAATCGTGGAATAAGTTTAAATAATCTTAAATTCTTTCCCTACTTCACTCATCGACAGATGTGAAGAGAAACGAGGGAGAATAAGGAGACCAGTCCGAACTTCTAACATATTTCTTTGATTGAAAACGAGGTTAGCGTTCGTAACAAAGTAGAATAAGTCATATTCTCTGTTTGTTGTCTTCGCCATACCAGGTCTTTATCGCTATTGTGTTCAAATTACGAAGCTCTATTGCTACCGTGATCTGATACCATACCATAATAAGAGCAATATCCTATAAATGGCCTGCTACAAAGTTAACTATAAGACAGCCATGTTTGGTATTATGTTGCTGAGGAGTCCGTTAAGCGATCAAAAAAGCCCTGAGATTCTCTGAGACTTTGACAGGTGACTGCAAAAGGAGGGTCGTTTTTTGGTTCATGTTCCATAATTACCCAGTCTGCCCAGCAGACTTCGAACTTGACTACAAACGAAGTCCTAATGGCTTCCTTGTAGTCGTTTGGGTAGAGGAGCCTAGCTATCTCCATTGTGTATACAGCTATGCGCACACGGTCTTTCTCTCGAGGCGTACGATCGGTCACCCAATCCAAATAATGAGCATCGAACGCCGCATGGGTTTCCAGTAGCGACTCTTCATAATCCGCTATGATTATTGCTAATTTCTCGTGGAAAGACATAATATCGCGGAAGACTTCTATCGTGAATGATTTTGCCGGCATTCGGAACCTACTAGTGTTGAAGATCCTGCTGGTGCCGTTGAAAGAAATTGTGGTGTCAATGGAACGCGTCCGAGACTGCACTTCGATATCTAGAGAGTTCCTTAGAGCTGGAACTGTACAGGCATACCGGACCAGGGCAGCTTCAAAAACATCGGTGCCCATTTCGTTGGCAGCAACGTGGTAGAGGATGGTCTCTTGGGCCCCTTGGAACACCGACAGGAATGTCGATGATAACAGAATTATCTTTTTAAGGCTCTTCCAGTGAAGACGGCACATAATATCTTGAATTAACTCGACGGGGAGATTCCCGAAATAGCCTGCTGCCGATTCATTCTTCACAAGCTTCGTATGTTCCATTGTAGTAAAAATGTTCTCCTTAGGTATTGGTTTTGGTGATCGGTGAATACATTAGGGTATAATTGGTTTGATAAATGACACAACTAATGGTTGATATCGAGTGCTAATAACTTATCGTAGAATTATAGATCAGTAGGCCAGAAAATAAGAGCTTTAAACTGTAGTGTTGAGTCTCAAAGCCTGAAAGGTGTCTAAAAAAAGATTGAATCGGAAGTTGGAACGAAAAAAGCACAATTAATATAGACACAAAAAATAATATCGTCACAATGCAATGCTTTATCACAACGATATTACAATCTAATTATTCATGGTTGCTGCGGAACTCATGACATCTACCTTCAAAGAGATAAGGAGTTGAGATGTAAACGGGCGCTGATAATCCGCGAAATATTATCATGAAGTGGGCAACTTTGAGCAAACAAAGTCGAAATATCCTAATATCATCAAATTTTCTTTATCAGTCCAAGCCTTACACCACCTACTTTTTACCTACACTGTGGTAATCATATAGTTTGATCACAGTGCCCCATATCGTATCCTGTAAGAATCGTTACTAGTTATTCATTCTAAGTAAGAACTCATTGTACCCTACTGTAGCAAACAAAGGAATGCACCCAAGGTATAAGATACTTCTAGGTGCCGAGATCTAAGTGATTGTGACAGCGTATTTACAAAGATTGCGAGTTCGGGCTATGGTGTGCTAACCTTGAGGGCTTAAGGCGCCCTTTATATTAGGCACCTCCTATCGGATACTGACTAGCTGGTAGTAAGCTTCCCCTAAACGCCGTCTTTATCATCTCAATACAGCTCTAACTTGCATCTCGTGATGGAACGACACGAATCAGCATTGACTGGTAGAATATTAGTATAGCCCTGAATTAGGTATTCGGGGGTCTTGTAAGTACCTATTGTCTAAAACAGGACTCTACTGATACCTCTACCGAAAGAGTTCGGATGAAAAATTGAAATATCTCTTAGGGTATCATCAAAGTGCCGAATCGATTTATATAAATCTTTATTAGATTTGAGAGGTGTCTTCAACAGCTGCTTTACACACAGCTTTTCGTAGTGAGTGGCCTCCGTGATGAGCAGAATTGCGTAAAGTATATACTAGTTGTATGACGGTACGATCATAAACTCTTGCTTTCCCTTATGTACAATGCTAACAAAAAGCAACTCATTTGCTCAAACCAACTTAGGATATGCGTTACAACCTATTACCGAACTCCGTATATATGTGGCCTTCTGACTCCGAGTTGATCCGATGCGCCACGGTCTATCACGTCGCCTTTCCTCTATTTCCGCGTCCTCGCCCTCTGGAGCTAGAGCTAGGTCCTGCCTCTGTAGCTTTAGTAGCGGCATTATTACCGCCTCCACTATTATTGGTTCGATTACTGTTACCCCCCTTTGGCTTATTGTTACGGTTGCTTTTTCGGCTGCTATTTTGCTCCTTCTTCCTTTCTTTACCTTCTTCGCGTGCAGCTCGTCTTGCTTCTTCTTCTTGCATCCGCCGGCTCTCCTGATCCCACCACTCCTGGAACGCCTGCTCTTGTTGAATCTCCTGGAGGCTACGTTTGGCGACTGCTTCGCGTACACTTTCCTGTTCGCGCCGCTGTTCTCCAATGATATCGGCAAGGCCGAGACCCATTTCCTGCTCCGGTTTAGGTGCTCGCTTGATATAAGACTTCGAGTGCGGAGTGAGTTGCTGGGATTTAGATTGAGTAGCAGGCATGGGTACCTGTGTCGCACTGTTGGATCTTTGACCGGGAAACCTAGTATCTGGAGATGCTGTCCGCCGTGGTATGGATTTGCTAGACGATGTCTCTGCAGCAAGAAGTGGCTTTGGTCTCGGTGGACCCGCCGACAAACCTGCCGAATGCTCCGGGACGTCTGTCGGGGGCGTCTTCGAGGCAAGCGGGGTCTTTTGCCAGGGCGAGTCACTCTTTTCGCCAACCTTCGTCCACGGTGATGGCGATTGCTGAGATTGTGACTCTTGCCGGGCTGCCAACTCCGCTTGCTGTTGTAATTGCCTTTTTCTCTCCTTTTGAGACATCTTCTGTGGAGTGGTTTTGCTACTTGCCTCTCTTCTCTCAGCCGCTAATTCGGCAGACAACGCTGATTGGATTGGTCGAGACTCTGCTAACACCTCTCGCAGATCTAACCGTGAAGTTGGCAGTGATGATGGTCCCCATGGATTACCTCCCGATGGTATACGCCTCGTAGGACCATTCTGTAACGTTGCAGGGGATAGGTTGGGTCTTGATGTCGAAACTTGTGCAGTGGAGTTTGGTGTAATGTGATCTTCAACAAATTTTCCTTTGGAATCCCTCCAAGGACCAGGAAGCGTTGATAACTGGTCCAATTCGTTTTGCTCACTGGATTGCAACGGTTGGGGACTTGGAGAAACAGGAGTCATGCTGCTGGGCGACCCCTCTTCGTCCATAGCAAAGATGAGGTCTGCATGAGAGTCTCTTGGTCGAAGTTCAGGCGTAAAAGGCTCGTTTCGAACTGCTTTCGACTTTCTCCTACTTCGGTCTGCCATTGAAGAAACACCGGTAGATTCATCCAAGCTCCCAATACGAGACTTCAACGATGTTGATAGCTTTTTCTCGTCTTCTTTTTGTATGACCTTATACGCCATCTCTTTCACTCGTCTCTGCCTCTCTTCGTCAATGTCTTGCGCTAGCTCAGGGTTGCGTTCGTGGAGGAGCAAATCAGCTCTCCCACTTCGCGCAAATGGACACCTGGCTAGTTGATTATCCCTAACGACCTCATCTAGCTCTAAGAGAAGATCCTCGTCGAGATCGTCAAGTAGACTGTCCATGTGTTAGTATCACAATTCATCTTCAATGTCGAATTTAATGATCTAGCTAATAACGCAACCTAGCAACCTATATATACCATGGAAGACAATCTCTATAACGAGCGATGTCGTCGAATATTCAAAGCAAAGTCTTTGGGCAAATTCGATACATTGGTTCAATTGCTAGGGTTACTTACTGATTTTCAAGCATGGACTCCATCTGGAGGCAGATATATTCCAATCCCTTATCCTTGAATTCAGTAACCGAACAGGGACTGATGGCATTTAGTAGATTCGAAATATTCCGAGTGTTAACTATTAAAATTAATATCTCCCTTGAAGTGGTAAGGGGAGCAGTACTTACCAAAACGACCAATGACTTTCTGGCAGATTTGTGATAGACGATCGAGCATGAGTTCGTTAGAAATGCCCATAACCTCCATAACTAATTCGGAGAAGTCATCAAGGTTCTCTGCGACAACATCATCGAATAGCTCTTCCCCAATATCGGCATATAGATGCTGAAGTACGTAATGGAATACCTCCGGGTCCATATGCTTCAGGTCGATTTTGATGTAGTCGTCATCTTTCTGTTCTGCGCGGCGACTCTCTAGCCACATGCCGCGAGAACGACCTTTGAAAAGACCTTGGAACCACGGACACCTTTGGCAGAGCAGATCGCTATGGACAAGGATCTCGTCACCACCGAGTTCCAAAAGGGCGTCACCATCTTCAAAAAATGCTGCATCCTCGATAGCTTTCTTAAAGTCCTTATTCATAGAACGTGGCGGTGAGCTCTGCATCCTAACAGAAGCTTCTAAGTCGGTCATACCAAGTCCAGTAGCCAGTCTCATAAGTTCTATGCGGATTTGGCGGTATCTATATGCTAAGGGTTTAGATTGCCGCGTAAAGTTCCAGGCAGGAATGACTCTATCGCGATATAAATAAACTATGAGATTCATCAGTGTGATTATATCGACGCTGCCAGTAAGTTCTATAATCACAACGTTGTCTTGTTCGCTGATAGTTAGGACATCTGAAAACTCGGAAATTCCAGTTTCTCTAAATTGTTGTAAACCGGCCCGAAGTAACGGACTTCTAGCCGACAACAGCCAAGAGTGTACGGGAATTGCCAAATCGGGGAATGCAGCGGCACGAACGACCATGCCAAGACCATCGTGGTGGAAATGCCAATTCTTGAGATGTACTTGAAGATCATCTTCAAGGTCAGTTGACGTCAATACCTCGTATGCCAGCGAGTCTACTCGACCTTTCAGCACGTCTGGGTCCTGAAATTTCCAAGTATCCTTATTCTCTCGCGCTTTGGAATTTAAAGCCCTAAATCCAGACAGGGGAAATAGAGGGGCAATGTCCTCCCACAATGTTGGTTCATCAATCTCAAGTTGCTCCCGTGTCACATCACAATCCTTCCGGACCGCGGCGTATGCACCGAAAGCAGAGCTTCTAACTGCAACTATATCCGTAATATAGGGAACACGCTGGAATTTGAAGTCCTTGCGCTTCCTGGAGTCTGCTGTTGCAGGTGCTTTAGTGTCTTTGGCTTTTGTTCGCTTGATGCGATGCCAGACCGCCCCAGACTGTGTAGAGATTATAACAGAACCATTCTCTCCGACACTAACAGATCTAACACGGTCTTTTTTAGAGCTCCAAATGCATTGTGGTATCGTCACCGCGTCCTTGATCTTCGACGGATTAGTCGTGGACGCAGCAGACTGATTACCATCGTACTTGTGATTGACTACCATCGTAAAGAGGTCTCCATTGCCCGTAACCGCAGCTATGGTATCCCCGCCTGATGTGATTTGATGGATTTCGCGGCGGCCAGGATCATAGCGGGAGGACATAGAGAGTTGTACTGAGCGTTGGAGTGGCGAACTCGTGAAAGGATCAAAAGTAGGGAACTTGATCATGTTGTAGCCGTAACTCGTGAAGACACACACGGTATGGTCCTCGAAAAGACAAGATGTCGCTTTCTCGATGGCCGAGACCATGACGATTGAAGAGTGACTCGAGAGGAGGGTCGCGGCAACTTTCCTAGGGACCGTCTGAACCTCAAGAGACCTGGAATCCGCATCCATCAAGGCAAGTTGACCAACATTTTTTCCCCAGCAGAACAAAGACGAACCCGTATGTGCTACGGAATGAATAGCAGAAGCTGCTGCCCCAAGTATGATTTCCTTCTTTAATGGACCAAATACTTGTCGAGGCGTTGTGCTTATTGGTTCCTCGTCAGGTTTCA